GATCCATAGCCTTCAAATAGTTAGGACTCCCCCACGACACACACACAAAGAGAGAGCGAGAGAGAGAGGGAGAAAGAAAAGAGAAAGTGGCTGGGCATGCCTTTAATCCTAGCACTTGGAAGGCAGAGGCACGTGGATATCTGTGAGTTCAAGGCTAGCCTGGTCTACAAAGCAAGTCCAAGGCAGCTAGAGCTCTGTCATACAGAGAAACCCTGCCTCGAAAGAAAGAAAAAAAGAAAGAGAGAAAGAAAGAGAGAGGAAGGAAGGAAGAGAGAAAGAAAGAAAAGTGACTCAATGATTTTATCAATGAATCTTACACCTGTGGTTTGTTTGTGGTGACGCTATGTAGCCCAGGCTGGCCTTAGTTTGCTCTTAACCCCAAGCCACAGGTTTAGGAGTGCTGAATTATGCAAAGGCAGCACCACACCCTGTGAGTGTCGCTGAGTAGCCACAGATGGCCTGGAGCTCAGGCTATGACCCAGGTGCCTCGCAGGCAAGAGTCTCCTATCCAGTCTCTCAAGGAGGAACTGTCCACCTGGGCCGCTTTGCCTGGCTTCAAAACCCATTGCTTCGTGCTTTCTTTTCACCTGCGTGGGTACATGCTTATAAAACTTTGTCTTTTCATTTCCCTCTCCTGGAAAACTCTTTTACATCCCATGTCAGGAATTTTTCCCCCTTCTTCTTTCCTTTTTTCTAAGAGACTTTTATTACTTCCATTTAAGGGTGTTTGTGTGTGTCTGTACCAACACATGTCTGCGGAGGTCAGGCTCATTGAATTCTCTGGAGAGGGAGCTACAGCTGCTGGTGAGCCACCTGCCCTTGTGCCTGCACACAACTCAGGTCTTCTGCAGGAGCAGCATGTGCGTGCTCCTAAACACACTCATCTCTCCACACACACACCCTTTATTTTTGAGACAAGAATCCGTGTGGCCAAGGCCAATCTTGAGCTTCAGATCTACCCCAGTCTCCCAGATAATTTGATTAGTGGCATGCCTACTAAACCCTGATTTTTTTTTTTTTTACGTGTGCCTCATATACATAGCACACATTTGTGCACGTGTGTGTGTGTGTGTGTGTGTGTGTGTGTGTGTGTGCGCGCGCGCGCTACTTTCCTATTGCTGGATTCCTAAGTTATTTCCAGTCCTTTATATAAATGTATGTTTATAGTAAATATTTTCAAGTTGGAGAATGATCTATGTTTTAGACAGGGCCTTGCTATGTCTCTCTGAATGAGTAGAGGTTGACCTTGAATTTGAAACCTGCCTCGGAGTGTAGAGATTATAGTGGTGTACTGTCAGGCCTGGCTAATCTCTCTCGAGGTCATTCATATTTTTTGCCTTCTTCATACCTGATGACAAACTCTCCTCCCCCCAAGTTGCCCACACGTCCAAGAGCATAGTAGCACGTAGCGTTAGTCCTAGTGTGATTTTGACGCATTTCACCTATCAATCAATGCCTTCAAGGATGCTTCCCCATGAGCCTCGCACACAGCATGGGACATTCCTGCCGGCACCCCACAGCCTTCGGCCATAACTGCTTTTGTCATAGCACGGCTGGCCACTGCTCATTGTGATGCTGATGAGGTGGCGTCCCTGACGTTCTAAAAGATTGTTTGGTGTGACTGCTCCAGACCAGGAACTGTCTCTGCACCTTTCCGGTGATATTTTGAGTCAGAATTCAAATACTGTACAGTTGAAGCTGCAGTATGCCTGGCCTATAACTTGGTCTAAGGCATTCATATTTGCCATTTTCATCTGCTTAGTATACTAACAAGGTGGAAAAAGCAATCCCAGTCCCTCCAAAAGGTAAACCTCTACTTTTTAAACAACAAAAAAAGTACTACTAGTGTTTTAAAAGTAGGGTAGATAAATTGCACTATTGTAAGCGTACACCGAGAGCCTTGTGAAATGGAGAACGCATTGAAACCCAAAATTAAATAAAATGTACTTATGAACAAGGGACAGTGCACAATCAGGATATCAAATTGTTTTCTTAGGAATATGTTGTTTTAAGTTGTACAAAAATGAAATCTGTAAAATATTTTATTACATATGTGTCATCATAAAAGGAAAGAAAAGAGCATCTATTCTATTTCTAAAGCTTTTGAATCAAAATGATCTGCATTTTGTCTAATCTCAATGAGAACTTCTATTTACTGTGCTACTGTCTCAGTAACTTTTTCAAATGGGTGGCTTTAGGTAGTAATGAAAAACTAAAAATATTAAAGATATGAAGCGTTCCAGAGGATAAATTATCTTCTGTGTTTCCATTAATACAGATTCTAACAGAGACACAGTGGACATAAAAGTCACTTTTAATTAAGTGAACTCACTTCCCACAAGTGACTTTTGCTCTTTCTTGTGCCTTTTCTATGATCCAGTACCAGTTGGTAACTCAACACCGACCTACGGAAACGGAATATCCTGTGGGTTCTCCCAGAGTGAATGAGATTTGGGTGACTTTCTGTGACCAGCTGACTGGAGGTGTTTCTGTTGTGCTGTGTCCTTGTAAACACTGCCTTCAAGATCGATCCTGGCTTTTCTCATCTCATACAGAAGCTATTTATTTTTTTTTCCACTGCCTTCTGCAAGCCCCCGCCCCCACCCCACCCCCGGAGCTGGATGCCGGCTCAGCCCCCACACATTCAGGCATATTTATTCCCGTAAAGATAGTGACACTTGGGGTTTATTCTAAGACTAAATCCTCGCTGCCCAGTGACTAAGGACCTAAGCATGCACACTGCTTCTATGCTTACCCTCCTAGCCAGCCTGACTACTCAACATTTTTCTTTCTTTCCCTCAGAATCCCCTCTTTTGGCACACTTCAGTTCGCACACTACTGCCAGGCCACTAATTGATTTCTGAAACCTGACATTTGTTTTTTGTTTTCTCCCATCTTCCCTAATGGTACAGGACTACTCAGCAGGGAGGAATGCAAAGAACTAGAAAGTTCAAAGTAATTGAGGATCTGTCCATTCACACTGGCTGGCGGCCCGCCAGTGTGGAACCTGGAAAAAAATCTGAAAAATATTTATCAAGTTTTAACCCTTTTCTGGAAGCTGATAGGACAAGTTGTCAGCAGTGGTGTTTGTCTTGGTTAAACACGTTCTCTGTATGCTTAGAACAGCATGGTACACACCTCAGAAAAGGATTACATTCCAATTTTCGTACTATTGCACACGGCTAAGCTAGTTATCATCTGTGAGACTGCAGAGCTGGAGACTGGAGAGAAACTATTACTTACTGTGGCAGCCGTATTTCCCGAATCCTTATGCCAGAAATGAAATTTAAATAAGTGCGGCCATATTTGAGGAAAAAGTAGATACTTAAGCATTTTTAAAACACAGAACACCAGCTCTGTGAACCAGGCCAAAGCCAGGCTCATATATACATTTTTTTAAAGTAGGTAAATAAAAAAATGTGACAAAGCTAAAAATATGTCCTCAAGTGCTTGTCAAATAGTTTGGTGGGCTTTTGTTTTGCTGCGATAGGTATCTTTATAAGGGTAGGCATGTTAAAAAGCTAGTGTGAAATTTAGAAGGATTTCCAGTAAAATAAATAGGTCTTAGTGCCGTAAAAAGTGATGGCCCGCTGAAGCTCTGCTAACAAAAACAAAACAAGTCAACATAGGTTTAAAAGTAAACTAAAGTAAAAAATAAATTTCAAGATGGTTTAACTTTGAATTGGATGGAACATAAAGGGTAAAAGAAATGAAACATTCTACTAAGACTTATCAATACCCCATCCCTTGGTTTGATCATACTATCAGCGTTAAGTATCTAAAGTTTTCCAAAGATCACCTGTTTTTAAAAAGTTAAAATCCAACACCAATTCTATGATCTGTCCCTGAGTTATTTGATCGCATGATTGGGTTTAATAACAGAGAAAATTAGGACAGATTTTTAAAGATGAAAGTTGGCAACCAGAGATCGTTCACTTCGAAACATAAGTGCAAAGACACTTATTAAATAACACCCTGGTATCATGAAAGTCGTCATCACCCATTCTCTGAAAGCAGCAACCACAAATATAAAATGAATCATTACTAACAGGAAGGAAAAGGGAGAAAAGAAGTCGAGTTCACAGTGTGATTTTATCTTTGTTGAAGAAAATGCACGTGACATTTCTATTCATATTTATTTACCTATATAGTGGGAACGAGACTCATACCTTGGATACCCTCTGAGGTGCATTTCTTGAGAACTCTTAAAAAGATGCTTCCCTGGGAAGTGGCCAGTGTGCTCTCTGTGGGTACTCTGGCAAAATGTGCTGTCGGCATACGTACATCTGTGGAAATATTACAGACATTTTTAAATCGCAGTTTGTTGTTTCGGCTTCCCAGTAAGCCAGATGAAGCCATGCACAAGAACATTAAGGATTAAGGAAAGTAGTTTCTTTTGGTGATTGCTGGCAAAATTTAAAACAAAACACAAAACCCACTCACCCTCCATTAAAGCAACGCAGTAAATGGGTAGTTAAATATTTGGCTGTTATTTTCCTGCAAATTTGGATTCCCAGTTCTCAGAGCCGTTGAGTATCTGTGAATATTTGTGGCTTCTTTGGTTCCCGTTTCGTAGGAAAAGGTGCCACTATATTAGGTAGATGGTCTGTGCTCCTCTTCTGAAAATATTAAACTCCATTTTCCCCCCTCCGGAGACGACAGTGCTAGCAAAAATAAGCCAAAGATGTAATGTCTATTTAAATACCCAGTTGAGCTGGCTGTTAGCTCTCAAATTAGATTCCATGCTCCGGCTAAAATCAACATGGTTTAAATATTAAAAACTTCATAATTCATAGGGCCCACCCCACCTCTTCCCCACATACGGCGACAGAAGGTAGAAATGTCTGTGAAAACTTCCAACTCCTTAAATACCGTAGGGGAAAAATATGCCCAGGTTGGTATGCAAGGACTTGAAAAAATGCTTGACATTAGAGCTTTTACTCAGGCCATAAGGGATGGGCTAGAGGATAGACAGACCTACAGCTGAAAACCCACAAATGAGGGCTGTTTTACATTTGTTACCGAACCGCCCCTTGCTTTCCTCTAAAGTACATTTTGTAGACTTTAAAAACACACACTCACTGGACGAGACTTGGAAACCTCAGCCCCACCACCTAGCTGCCTTCTGGGTTCAGCTTTCGAGTTTCAGGTCCTTGCACAACACCTAAGGCGAGCATTACTTTTTTTTTTTTTTTTCCCACCCTAATCCTGGCAGAGAGAACAGTTGGGAGAGATCTCCCTCCGCGTCTCCACCCCGATTCCCCCTCTTCCTAGATTCCACCCGCTCCTCTCTCTCCTTCCCTCCGCCCAGTGCTCCGGCGGCCCAATCTGTCAGAGAAGTTGTGTACAAACTGCGCCGCAGCCCTGCGCGCGAAGCTCATGGCCCGCGAGGGGTGCGGTCGGCCCGGCGGGGGCGGAACCTCGCGCTGCCCCCTTCCCATTGGCCAACCTCTGGCCCTGCGGCCTCGCTATTGGCCGAGACGCTGCCAGTCGGGCGAGCTGGCCCTGCCCCCCTGGAGTTGGGTGAAATAGAGGCGGGCGTCAAGTGTCAGTAGTCGCGGGGCAGGTACGCGCGCTCGCAGCTTGCTGCTGGGGCTAGGAGGTGGCGGGAGCGGCTTCCAGCGGGAGAGCGAGCGAGTGAGCGAGCGCCGGGGCGGGGCGGGAGAAAGTGGCGTCCGGAGGACCTCGGCGGTGACGCGTGGCTGAGCCCGGGAGCCCCGATCTCCGCGCCCGCCTCCGTGAGCCGCTGCCTACCGGCCCAGGGGGGTCCCCCCGCGCCGAGTCCGCCGTCCCGCGCCAGCCCGGGCGAGGTGGGGATCGCGATCGCCCAGCAGCCCCGTGCCCGTAGACCACCCCCCCACCCCACCCCCGACCGCCCATGGCCACGCGGGTGCTGACCATGAGCGCCCGCCTGGGACCGGTGCCCCAGCCGCCGGCCGCGCAGGACGAGCCCGTGTTCGCGCAGCTCAAGCCGGTGCTGGGCGCTGCGAACCCGGCCCGCGACGCGGCGCTCTTCCCCGGAGACGACCTGAAACACGCGCACCACCACCCGCCCGCGCAGCCCGCGCCGCCGCCGGCCGCCGCCGGCCGGCTGCCCTCGGAGGAGCTGGTCCAGGTAAGCCGAGAGCCGCCGGCCTCCCTCCCCGGGCTCGGGCGTGTCCCGCCAGTGCGAGGCGCGGGCGACAGGGGCCGCTCCAGGCTGGGGCACGCGGGAGCCGGGTGCCCCGGGGTGGGCAGCCCCGCCCTGCGCTCCCAGACGGGGCGCCGCGGGGTGCTTAGGGGTGCAGGGGGTGGGGGAGACGCCCCCCATCTGCCCATCCGAGGCTCACGCGCACCTTATCTGTTTTCTTGCGTGGAGATGAAGAGCTTGTACCCACGCTCAACTTAGATTGCTTCACCTTGACCGCTCTCTCCCTATGGCCCTCGCCTTGGACAAGTCCACCTGCCTGTTGTTTGGGATGGAGTAGAAATGCAGTTTGGAATACTGGGGTTCCGCATATATCCCCGAGGCTCACCCAAGAATGGATTGCAGGGCCCCGTTTGGGGAACTAGAGTCAGAAGAGCTAAGGGCTGTGTTTGAACACTGCCTTTTCCTTAAAGAAACGTACGGGGTGGAGCGGGGGGGGGAAGGCCAGGGGTGTTGTTTTCTTGGTGTGCGCGTAAATTTCCTCCCGGAGTCGCGTTGAAAGCTGGCAGTTGGCTTTTACACTTGCCCAGCAGCCGAATTAGAGCAAGCGCCTGTTTCTTTCGCCCACGCACGGGAGTCATATCGCCCAGAAAAAACTTCCCGGGACTTTTAGCTAGTCCCAAGGAAAAAAAAAATTGGAAACAGACCCACATGCAAACAGCTGGAAGAGCTAAAATCAGAAACCACTAACTGCCACGGGAGCGCAGTGCGCGAAAGGGTTTAGTTCGGTTTATTTCAAGACGCCTGGTTTAATAGCCTTTTGCTGTATTGTGAATTTGCGCCCAGCGCCTGTTTCTCAGGGTCTGCCAGTGTTGTCGTGTTTTTAGAGGACAGTGGCGTTTGTCAGATGTGACTCACATGGCTACAGCATGAATCTTTATTTTTAAGTCGTGCATATCCGGGAAATCCCGTCCGTCCTCGTCCACGTCCAGATCTTGATGATCTGAGGTCCGAGATGACTGTTCTTTTGAAAATTAAGAGCAAGAATATGACTCCTATTCACCGATGAAGGTGCAGTGAGTGCTGTTCTGCGCTATGAACCATTTAATTTGGTTGTGTTCGGTCTTTTTCTAACCACTTTTCCATGTCAAGAAAAATTGAGAGGAAAAAAAAAAGAAAGCTTTCATTATTTTAGTAGAGAAGAGAGAGCTGGGGAAAGACAGGCGCTGGCTGCTCAGTAGCTGGAGTGTGTACGTTAAGCAATCAGGGCCTGGGAGACGCTTGGTCACTTTACTTGGGTAGTTTTTCTGTCAGGAGATATCAAGAGGCTCAGGGATGACCGCGCTTTTTACAGAGGAAGGGGGAATGTAGCATTGGCCCACGGAGAGGACATGATAAATATTTTGCTGATGACTGTGCTGGCAGTTCGGCAGCCTCTCCCCACCCACGGGCATCTTCGCACCAGCACCCGTCTACCAAGGGAGTGATTTTTTTTTCCTTGATAATTAAAGATCTGTTGTAGATAGGGATATGAATAGGAACGTTTCATTATTATATTAACCAATTACCGAATCTGTCTGTTAAAAAAATCAACATTTGGGTCAAACCTTTTGAACACAACAGTTGTTTTGTCACAGTGGATCTCGGGTTTGGCTCCAAAATGTTGAGGTTCTTAGTAATCAAAAAGGGACTGAAATGGCCAAAGAACATTTTATATTCCGTAGACCTGAGGTAACCTAACTATGCCCACAAAAAGCCCTTTGAAATGATTATTTTTTAAAATTTGCAAAGGTTATGTTTTTCAAGGGAAGCACCCGAAAATGTAACAGGCGGGAATAGAATTGAGGCATTTTGACCATACTCTGACACGGTACTTTAACTGAGATTTATCCTTGGGGGGGGGTGGGGGGGGTGAGATTTGATTGCATCAGAAACGAATACGTTTTCTCTTTGCTCCCCTCCTCCATTTACCTCTTTCACTTTTTGTCTGGGGATGACTTGGGGAGTGATTTTACTAAAGACGTGTTGTGCAGACTTTTGGTTAACCGGTAATTACACAATTGACAAAATAAACTCCTGTGTTGAGAAGCAGCACTTAGGAGCTGGCCCCAGCACTCAGGCTGTTGAGTTTTCAGTAAGCCCTCTTTGTCCTTCCCTCGAGCACTGGGTGGATTATGTGTATTTGTATCTCTTCCCTTTTAGACAAGATGTGAAATGGAGAAGTACCTGACCCCTCAGCTTCCTCCAGTTCCCATAATCCCAGAGCATAAGAAGTACAGACGCGACAGTGCCTCAGTGGTGGACCAGTTCTTTACCGACAGTGAAGGGTTACCCTACAGCATCAACATGAACGTCTTCCTTCCGGACATCACTCACCTGAGAACTGGCCTCTACAAATCCCAGAGACCGTGCGTCACACAGATCAAGACAGAGCCTGTTACCATTTTCAGCCACCAGAGTGAGACGGCCGCCCCTCCTCCGGCCCCGACCCAGGCCCTCCCTGAGTTCACCAGTATATTCAGCTCCCACCAGACCGCAGCGCCAGAGGTGAACAATATCTTCATCAAACAAGAACTTCCCAGCCCAGATCTTCATCTCTCTGTCCCATCCCAGCAGGGCCACCTGTACCAGCTCTTGAATACACCGGATCTAGACATGCCCAGTTCTACAAACCAGACAGCAGCAATGGACACCCTTAACGTTTCTATGTCGGCTGCCATGGCAGGTCTTACCACACACACCTCTGCCGTCCCGCAGACTGCAATGAAACAGTTCCAGGGCATGCCCCCCTGCACATACACCATGCCCAGTCAGTTTCTTCCACAGCAGGCCACTTACTTTCCCCCGTCACCACCGAGCTCAGAGCCGGGAAGCCCCGATAGACAAGCCGAGATGCTCCAGAATTTAACTCCACCTCCGTCCTATGCTGCTACAATTGCTTCTAAACTGGCAATCCACAATCCAAATTTACCTGCCACTCTGCCGGTGAATTCACCAAATATCCAGCCTGTCAGATACAATAGAAGGAGTAACCCTGATCTGGAGAAACGACGCATCCACTACTGTGAATATCCTGGTATGTGGTCTGTGTGCTTGGAGCATCGGTAGTATTTTATGTGCTTGAATGCCTGTATGTGCGTTCACAGGTTTACACCATTTTGAACCTTAGGCATGAAAATACATGGGAAAGATGGACTTGACAGTTCAAAATAAATCACCTGTTTTTTTTTTTTCTTAGCATTCTATTTCTGCATTTTATGCTGGTGTATCATTAGGTAATAGTCTATTGTTTGTTTTATGTATTTTAAAAAAAATGGCCAGTGGGCCATGGTAGTTCATGCCTTTAATCCCAGCAGTAAGGCCAGGGCAGGAAGAGTACATGTTCAGACTAGCCTGGGCTACATAGTAAGATCCTGTGTCTCAAATAATAATTCCTTTTTATAATTCCTTTTTTTTTTTTTTTTAATGGTTAGAACATTTCTACAGAATAAGTGGATTTCTTTCTCTTTAATAGTACACAAAACTTGCATTTCATTTAGCCTAAGAAATTGTGGCCGTACATTCTAAAAAAAGTCTCTGGAGATTAAATAGGGTGAAGAGACAATAGTGTGTGATGAGGTTACAGGTACCTCTTGGCAGGTACAAGGCTGCTAACAGGACAGATTTAAGAAGGCTTGGGTCAGCTGGACATGGTGGTGCACGCCCTTAATCCCAGCGCTGGGAGGCGGAGGCAGGCGAATCTCCGAGTTAGATGAGGCCAGCCTGGTCTACAAATCGAGTCCAGGACAGCCAGGTCTCTGTTACAGAGACTGTCTCTAGGACCTCCTTCCCCCCAAACAAAACAAGAATGCTTGGTTCCGTTAGTGTATTCTCATTCTTGAATGAGATACGTGACCCAAAATATAATTGGACAGTAATAACTATATCTCCAAGCTGCAGGCGTAAGCGAGTTTATGATTAATACCAGTCATAACTTATTGGCTGTGGCGCCTGATGTGACATGACATGCTAAATGAAAAAACAAGAAAGTGGGAGTGTAGAAAATTACAGTTATCTTGGATAATTGTTCAGCACTGTCAGCTCTGCATGCACTATATTAAAATATATATATCTACTAGGATAGTTCTCAAGTCACCGAAACACGTGTTACAGTAAAATACCTACTGGAATATACACACATATTTTTCCTTTGTTGCTTGGTGCATCACCTGTGTTCTTTGCTCCCCAAGTGATACATAAAGCAGATCACCTCTGCCTTCTGATAATGTCAGGGGGGAAGGCGCCCTAATGTCTTAGCCAAAGCTTCCAATATTACGTCTAGCACAGGCGATTTCATCTTTAAAGCCGGATTTTAGACACCAAATCATCAAATGTGAAGATTTCAAAAGGCCCTAGAAATGACAAGCTGTTCTTCCTCTGTTTCCTTTATTTTAGGCTGCACAAAAGTTTATACAAAGTCGTCTCATCTAAAAGCTCACCTGAGGACTCACACGGGTAGGTAATTTTCTTGTTAATTCCGTGAGTTGTGTAAATAGTACAAGTGGCATTCATCCTTTTAAAAGCCAACACGTGTTTGATCTCTCCTTTCTTCTGTCAACTTTTATTTTTTAATGGCCTACCCTTTCAGCAAGGGCTTGGCTCAAAACAAAGTTCCCCAAGAAACTGGTTCCAGGAAGGCTGATGCTCCCTCAGTGAGACCTTGCCCTGTCACCTTACGTAGAATTAATGACCCCCAAAACGTAAACAACACTGTTTACTAATGGATTTTAAAACTTTAATGTCAATGCTATTCCTGTTTTGAAAGAAGGAAAAAAAAATTCTTCTTGGTAAACCATCTTGCTTTAATAAAGCCCTTTTATGCTGGAAACTTTTCCACTTATCATGCTAAGCAGCAGTGCTTAACACATTATCTGTAGTTTCACCGGTGGCTTCAAATACTTGTGTTTAGCGTGTTCGCTGTGTTTGAAAAGTAGGCCTAAGATCTATAGAGTATGAAACAGGGTGGTCAGAATGAAGGGCAGTACTTTCAACATCACTCCACACCCAACCCCAGCCCTGGGTTTGAGAGGACCTCATTTCTCCCCAGTCTTCCATTTCATCTTCATTTGTAGCATGCTTTTAAGTTCAGTCTCCTAATTGTACGATGATTTGTTCTGCTACATTCACAGCAATCCCTTGTAGGAGCTATTAATTTTGAAGCCTCGTATCAAAAACACTTTTAAAATTAAATTCGGTAGCATGCTTTATTAAAGGGCTCCACATACCCACAATATTTTCAAGTGTTCGGACCGTTACTATTATAATTTAAAAAAAAAAAAAAAAAGAATAGCCCTAAAGGAAAAAACAGATATGAAAGTGACTGCAGTTTTTTTTTTCCCCTCAATAAATACACCCTCCTTACCTAAAGTTCAAAGAATAAGTTTGCTAATAAAAGCAGTGACCTAGCAAAATGTATTATTCCATCATTGCTATGGAAACCAAAGTATTCAACAGTTCCTTTGAATGGGTTGTTGGATTACTGTGAGGACTTGAATCTCCCTAGGCTAGATGTTACTATGGAAATTGAGTTTTGATAAATGAAGTAGTTATCTCTAACTGCTGCATTAAAAAGTAAAAGCCTTTGAACAAAGGTCAGTGCTGAACCAGAGCCCTGTGAGAGTATGGTTGCAGACATTTTGTATGCGTGTTAGGAAGTCTCTGCTTGGTATCTGAGTGCTGAACACGGACTAAAATCCAAACTGCAGATGCCAGTTTCCAAGAATGGATGTTAAAGACACGCATCTCATACATTTATCTGTGATAGCAATCAACTTGGGGGCCTGAGGTTTCTTTGTTTGCAGGTAACTACGTAAAAACTCCTGTCTAAAATGTCTCCAGTACAGCTGACAGGTACCAGAAGATTCCATGTAGAAATACTAAAAAGCATACTGCAGACTACTGTTGTGTTAGGGAAACACTGAGCTTGGGTTTTTGAGCTTTTTGTCAAGAGGAAGTAGTAGCTAGAAACATTTGAGCTCTCGTTCCTCCCCTCTCCTACCTCTCTCATCAGAAGTCCTTGAAACTGGAGATAGGAAAGAGGGAATGCATTTTCGAGGTTAAAGTCCCCATAATAAAAGAAGTGCGCAATTGCATATAACGATGTAATCAAGTGCTCATTGCAGGGACGTAGTCAGGCCATATCTAAATAGCCTTTCCACCCCTGTCAGGATTTACGGCTCTGAATGCTTGTACCTGGGATCCTGGAACTTGACCTGCTGGCAAAGAAATTCAATAGTGGGTAGCCTGAACAATGCCTGTACTTAAAAAAAAGAAAAAGAAAAAAAAAAAAAAAAGAAAGAAAAGCAAACCAAGACAGGATCTAGGCCTAGTTAGGGTCTCATGGGGAGACTTTTTCCCTCGACCGTAAATATTGTGGCCTTAAACATCTAATGAGGAAGGCCATGTAATACAGTTAATAAAGTTTTGTCTGATAGTCTTTCAAATGCCTTGGGGAGGGTTTGTAACAGACTCGCTCTTCTGGCTAAACCCGTTCTTAGGTAATCATAGGGCATTGAGGCTTTCTCCTCATTTCTAGTTTCTAGACAATGCCTTTTAAAAGTACCTGTGTGCTGGCTACCATTGTCTCCTCCCTCGGCTCCTGCTCAGTGAATGTACAGGAAGCCAGCCGAGGCTGGGGGTTGTTGTTTTCTTTCCCCTTCTAATACCCAGGTAGATGAAGCAGTTTTGTGTCCTTTTTGAACGGTACCTCTGACTTAATAGCGCGTCCTGTTTTTCTTTCTGTCCTATTTCCTCCCACTTGGAAAACCTGTAAGGAGACTCTAAAAACTACCTGGCAGTATTGATTGGTTGTGTGTTTGACGTTGTAAAAGAAATGCTTTGCTCATGGTTGCCGGCAGGACGTGAGGCGCCCCTGCACTTCTGTGGAAAGCGTGTGTAGTCAATGTGAAGTTATCATGTCTCAGTTGATTTAAGCAATTAAAACAACCTTCATCTGTGGTCTGTTTAACCAAGGGCCTGAGTTAGAGTGAATAAGCTAACCAAATAATAGCGTGTCCACCGCACAGCTTTATTCTTCCTCAACTGGGACAGAAGAGTAAAACACCAGTGCGCTTTTTGAATCACACGTGTGACATTGCAAGTTTCCTAAGTCCGTGGATTTGGACTTTATAGAAAGCATACAAAAGCTCAAACCTCTGCTGTGTAGGGTCCGACAATCCCTGACACACAGCTGTATCTGCGTTTATCTGTGCATAAGACCACACACCTGTGGGTCCATATAGGCATGGGTAAGAGGGTGATTGTGTGTGTTATTTGTCATGCCTGTGCACATGTTAATATGTTAGGGCAGCTTCTAGTGGTCCATTTCCAAATCAGACTGTTTGTGCTTTTTAGTAGCATTTAAAAGAACATTTCATTAAAATTCTTATGCCTTGTTTTGTTTGCAAAGGAAGGTACACATTGCCGTCATTCTAAAATTTATGACTACCTTTCAAAAAACACATAATCCTGCCCTCATAATTGACTGATAAACTCTTCTGTAAATAGCATAATGTTTCTGTGTTTATATGCCTGTCTTTTAAACACAGAACTTTCTGCATTCTAGGCTACCTTAGCAATAGGCTACACAACAGACCCTGCCCCTAAATTCCACTATGAAGATACAGGACAATTTTCAGCCTTGGCTTTCTGGAGTAAGGTAGAATCAGCAGTTGTATAAAGAAGCTTTTGGGAGCAACACCGGGAGTCTGCAGGGCTCTGCTGGCCAGGGATGGAAAAAGGAGGAAGGGAGGGGCCGCCAGAAACTCAAAAACCAACATGACAGCAGCACAAAATGGACCCTTGAGAACTGTGCTCAGGATCCCCTGATGAAAAGATTATAGCCTGTCCCTAGGTGTGAAGGTTAAATCCCCACCTCCCTTAGCCCACTTCAGGAACCAAATATCTAGTGATGTTTATTTAAAAGATGTCACCTTGTATACTTTTTTGAGACAGGGTTTCTCTGTGTAGCCTTGGCTGTCCTGGACTCACTTTGCAGACCAGGCTAGCCTCAACTCACAGAGATTTGTCTGCCTTTGCCTCCCTAAGTGCTGGGATTACAGGCATGCACCACCAAGCCCAGCTTCCTTGTGTGCTTTTAAGTATATGGTTTTGGTTTCTGCTTTAGTTTCCAGGTCTGACTTGGGCATGGAGCATCCTACGTAAAAATATGGAGTTAGGTCTTCACTGAGAACTCATGTTCCATCGGTTATATCCGACACAGTTTTGATAGTGTTACATCTGAGATTTTTATTACAGGCATTTTTCCACTGAAAAGAACCTTCGGACTAATCTATGGAAGGAGTTGCTGGGGAGGCTTTAAAAGAACCGGGAAGGATTTCTTTTCAGGCCATAATGGATGATGAACTCATGATTTGGATCTAGAATAGATGGATACCGGTTAGCTGCATAACCTGTTGTAGCACATAAGGAAAATGTACTGTAGGTGAATCTAGTGATTTTCATATAGTTAAAACTGCTGCACTGAAAAGGGTCGATCACAATTCAACATCGCGTGATAGGCACTAGTATGTTAAGTGTTGTATTTCATTTGTAGCTTTGATTTTGTTTGAGACAGGGTTGCTCTGTGTAGACCTGCTTTGTATAACAGACTAGACTCAAACTCAGGGATAGATCTGCCTGCCTCGGTCTCCCCAGGGATTACAGGTGTGTGCCACGAGCCTGGCTGAGATTTATATTTTATACTGACTTATAGCCATATTTTTTTTTAAGTAGTGGCTTAAGAGACTTGTTGATTTAGACCCCAAGAAAGGTTATTTATGAACAAGAAAGCTTAGAAACAATTTTTTTGATGACTCACTGGGAACACTAACTTTGCTTTGGGAAGTCCTTCCATCTGAAAAACATTTACATAGGAAATTGATCAAACACTGTGTCAAGATGATAAGGCTTATCAAAGGTTAAGTATAATTTAATTCAGCAGACATTTCTGATTGGTTTTGTGACGAATCCAGAGAATTAACCCCTTCTTACCCTTCAGTTTTTCAGCTAGTGGGAGGAGACATTGAGTTCAGGCTGTCTCCTCTTGAATCAGCACCGGCTTCAGTCTGGTGGTAGATGTAATGTGCGTAGATGTAATAGGACTGCTGAAATTGAAATAGAAGCAATCAGCCAAGGATGGTCCAACGAATGCAGAGAGCAGTATTTAAAAATATATATTTTAATTACCCAGGAATTTTCTCTTGCCAGGTATTTTTAGTTCTACCTGAGGGTTAGTGACTCCTTGTCCGCCTGTAATAATTCATATTCCTGGACCTCTAACAGGTCTGATCAAAGACAAAGGTTTGCTTTACAAGCGCAAAAGTGGCCAGCTTCTGCCTAAAACATCTGCAGAGAACTAACGTCTCTTTGGCTGCTGAGCAGGGTGGCCAGGTGAAGGAAAGGGCATCATCACCGAGTTGAGTGGATGAAATGAAAAGGCTATTCTTGTCCCCACCTACCCACCCACACTTTTTAATAAACAAAGCATTTCACTGATTATTTTAGGCGGGCTTTTTGTTGGCTCTTTTTAAGTTAGTTTGGGGACATTAAAAAGAACCAATGGGAAGTAGCCTTTTTTTGTCAGGAGTCTTGAACTAGTGCTTAATTTCCACTGCTAGTGCTTGTTAAGGTTGAGAAGCAGCCAAGTACAGGAGCAAGGGACCCACTCCTGTCCCTCCCTCCCTTCAGGCTCCACAGCACAGTCTCGTCCCTCCATTCTACTTCAGCAGATAAGCGCTCTCTCTCTGGTTCCCCGTAGAAGGCTTCTTTCAGAATTCCTTGGACTATTCTAGTTCTACAGAGGGAAATTTGTTTAGAGAGTCCATGTCCTAGGTACCTTCAGGATAAGGGATTCCAGTATTTGATCCTGAAGACACTCAAGTCAAGGTTCTCACCTTAATACATATTTAGATTACCCCTGTGGTTCCAAGCCCCACACCAGCTTCCTCCTGCCTTCCCTCTCCTCCATTATGAACATAACTGCTCAGGCTTGGACCCTGCACTGTGGTGACAGGTAGAGAAGATAGATAGGAGAGCAGATAGGTAGGGATGCAGAACAAAGGGGGGATCCGGGAATACAAAATACAACCCCTCCCTCACCCCTCCCTCACCCCTCCCCTCCCTGCCCAGGGCCTCTTATGGACATTGGCTCTCCAGCACTGGATCCATTGACTCAACTGAGCCCCCATCAGAGTCAGCATGGTGTATGTGGCGAGGATGGCTACTCGTGACCTGGCAGGCTTTCTAGATGGGGGGAGGAAGAGGAGTGGGATTTAAGAGAATGTGACAAGTTGGGAAATGTGAAGAAGGGGTTTCCATAATATCCTCTACACAAGTTTCCTCAGACGACCACTCCTCACCTCCAGGAAGCTTCGGCTTATACATAGAGTGGAGCTGCCTCTTGTTACAAGGAGAGGAGACTACAAACCCTGGTAAAGTCTTTTCATGGAAAAGTACCGGTGTGGCTGTGTAAAGAAACAAGTCCATGAGTCCAAATCACTCACTCTTCTCAGATATTTTCCATGATTCCTCAAATGGTTTCTTTTTCCCCCTTTTATTAGCAAGTGTGGCATCGAGTCTACCTCAGAAATGAACAAACCCACAAGTTGGTGATGATAGGGAAAAGAGCTGTAGGTCAGAGACCACGTGCCATCGCTAGGCATTGAGTTCAGGCTGTCTCCTCTTGAATCAGCACCGGCTTCAGTCTGGTGGTTTGGCGCTTTTATCATTATGTATTGATTAGACCATCTTTTCATCATTGAGAAGGAAAGTACATAAATTTGCTGTAATAAGCCTTAGAGTTACTTCATTTCCTTTGTTACAGCAGTCTATGTAGAGCTTTCTAGAAAAGGGCCTTGGTATGGGACTATTGATTATGTTCAGCAGAGCAGAGAAACCTCCCATTCTATTGTACTAGCTTCACAAGTCATTTTAAAAATATGTTCATCAGTAAAATAGAGATAGTGTTGTTTCTTTTCTTTTAATACTCGGGTGAGACAAGCATTCTTGAACCCAGGGGAAGGAATCCTCTTTCGGGTAGCATTTGCACATTGCCGGTCCTAGTTATGGAACAGCCTTCAGGGCCCTCAAGCCCTAAAAGGCGAGTCTGTAAAGGACCTGGGCAGCCACGGTGTACCTTGAACCTCATACAGTCTAGGCCTTCCGGCCTCGGAGTCCATTAGCTATCCCTTTCCCTTCATGAGAGGCGGTAGAATCTGAGTAAATTTGAACAATATGTGTGTATTCGTTCCTTGAATCATTCAAAGGGTGTGATAGTGTTTGCTAATGGAAGACTTAAGTGGGACATTAGAGAAAATGGCAGGCCAGGACGCCCAAGGTGGAGCCAGTCAGTCAGCTTCTAACTTTACTGTCAGGGGCGAACGATGTAATTACCTTAGCTCTAGAGCAGAATCCTGGGGCCCCCGACAGAGCCTTGCCTCTTACTGGTGCTGGTTTTGCTGTACCAGTAATACACAATATGCTAATAAATAGCCTTGCAAGTAGGGTGTCTGCATGTTTAATTTTGGCCATATATTTCAGAGACTGGGGCTTCATCAGCCATCTCTAATTTTAAGGTAGGGAAGAAAATGCACACTGTATAAGGGTTTCCATACCGCACAGCCTTGCCACTGTTTCCACTTTGCCTTTGCACAGTTTGACTCTAGCAGCATGAGGAGGACTTAAAATTACAAATACAGTGGATGTTGAAAGAGCTTAACTGGGTATTTCAAATTGGTGGTATTGGAAAGAGATTCTTTAAAAATCCAATTAAACTTTTGAAAGCTCTATCCTGTTGAAATATAACTTGGAGGAAGTCAGTTTGCTTTCCCAGAAGTACTGGCCGTAGTGTTTCTGGCTGAGGAAAAAAGGCTTGAGTCTGCTCCTCGGCCAGAAATGGGGTACCAGCTTCCTGTGCGATGTTTTACTTGAACAGTGTTGACACTTGAACAAATCCCATAGAAACAGCCCCAAGTGGGGGGATAGTTGTCCTTGCTTTTATTGGAAGTCTTGGCCCCAGTTCCTGCCCTTGCAGACACTGGTGGTATTCTTGGCGGAATGAGCTATAGGTGCACATAAATTGAGAGCAAAACCCCAAATGTTTTAGGAACTTTAATGGCTACTGTGTGTCAACCAATCAGTAAAGTCAACTTTACAAAATATCGGTGCAGTTTATTGCTTTGCAGCCAATAAAAACAATGAACAAAAAGAGTTCAGTGTCAGCCTGCTTCTAAAGTAAACGCTGTAAACTTCGTTCTATGCTGTGCAATTATTAAATTGAGAAGGCTTGAATGATCCTTCTGAAATCGGGACTCGTGAGGAAGTTTTTTCTTGATCTAAACATCAGAATTAGACCTTTCCCCAGTGGAATGACAGGAAAGCCATGCTTGTTACTGTAAGTTACTTTCACTAGACCTCTCTGTGTGAAGTTCCTCTGTGGGACTGACATCTCTGAGCCAGATACTTACTTACCATCACCATTAAAAAAATATCTTTCTGTGAATCCAGCGTTGTGTGTGAATGGAAGTGGAAGAGAAATGACTTTTCTGTTCCTGCAAAGCCTGAGTGTTAGTGTAACTTCCTAGATTGAGTTTACTATGAGGGAGGGAGCAAAGCACACAGCTTTAAGTTCAGCAGACTGACCTACAAGGTCAAATACTCAAAAGATGTGAGTGTGTGTGCGCGCGTGCCTGTGTGTGTGCGCCTGTGCGCCTGTGATGGAGGAGACATTTAGACTTGCCCTTTTGGAGAAAGCATGTAGCCGATGATCCCCTTGCCTTAGTCTCCCCAAGACTTGTATTACAGGAATTTACCACCTTGAATGGCTGAGATGAATTTTTTTTTTTTTTTTAAATGCAATGGTAAGAACCAAAAAGCGGGTTAGCCATATGTGTGCCTTGGGTCAGAGGCAGAAGAGGGGCACAGAGGGAAGGCTGGGGGGGTGAGTGTCCTGTAAGTGAAGAAGGTTGCGGCGGCATGGGACCAGGTTCATGTGATCCATTCTGGCCAGTGCTGCTTGTGTCCTGAGCGGCTGGAGGGCACAGTGGTGCTCAGGACCCTGAAGGGTGCACGAGCCGCAGCCACTGGACATACACATTGAGCTGAGCAGTCACGGCTTCTGTGGTGACACAGCTAAGTGAGGCAAGGCTAGTGAAGCTGATCTACTCAGCTGCCCCAAGTTTCTTTCAGACCAAACTTATTAATAGTCTTTCTGCCTCAGGCCAGAAGAAAGCCTTTCTGAAAAGAAGCTGGGGGTGGGGGAGGGGGAGGAATTACCCATAAAACTCCAGCAAGACCAAAAACATAGAAGTCATGACAAGTTTTAGTGCTCAAAGACTTGGAATCTGGGGATTTGCACAGAAAAACACCCCTATCTTAAATAGGGATCTTAAACAGCAAAGGAAAATTGTATTATAAATATTTAGTAGTTTTGAAAGTTAAGTAGCTGGTAAATTTAGGAGAACATTAGGAGTCATACAAATTGTACAGCAGTGTTAGCTCAAATATCATCTCATTGTTAGGTGCGGGAGCTTTTTACTTTATTTATTGTATTCCACAATTTGTTGTGGCCTAGACAATTGCCAAAGTGTTCATTGAATACATTTGGGATGGAGGTTGAGACACGGTTTCTCTGTGTAGCCCTCTGTCCTGGAACTCACTATGTAGACCAGGCTGGCCTAGAACTCAGAGATCCACCTGCTTCTGCTTTGCAAGCGCTGGACACCATGTCTGGCCTCATGGAATCAATGTTGATAACCTTTGTGGAGCAGCACTTGCTACAGAAAAGGTCCGACACACACGTGTACCAATCAGCAAATGCTAGCTCGGATTATGGGTTGTAGACAAAGGCTCAGTTAAGTTGTCTGGTTCGTTGGCTGTGCGGAGGCTGCCTGGGGGTTCACAGCCGGGCTGTGGGCTGCGCTGCTGGTCCCACAGCAGGCCCACCTCACCCTGTCTCTTGCTTGTCGCAGGTGAGAAACCCTACAAGTGCAACTGGGACGGCTGCGACTGGAGGTTCGCGCGGTCGGACGAGCTGACCCGCCACTACCGGAAGCACACGGGCGCCAAGCCGTTCCAGTGCGGGGTGTGCAACCGCAGCTTCTCCCGCTCCGACCACCTGGCGCTGCACATGAAGCGCCACCAGAACTGAGCCCCGCGCCGCCGCCGCCCGCCCCGCGCCTCGCAGTCCGCCCGCCATCCTTCACACGGCAGGCCTAACTTTATATATGTATAAAAAAAAAAAAATCAAAAGAACTGGAAATGTATATTTTGTATATTTGAGGCAACAGGGAATACATTGTATCAATACCAAAGTGTTTGGTCATTTTGAGAACCCGGAGGCTTGCTGTCGTGCTCACCCACTGGCTTTATTTCAGCAGACTTCATCTCCAAACAGCTCAGCACGGGAGCCGGTGGGGGTGCGTGGGGCGCGTACGCTCTTTCTACCCAGGCTGCACACGCAATCATTTGTGACACTGTTTAGGATAAACGAACCAGTTGGCAGGCACCCGGATAGACTGTCAAGATTTTACTTGATGTGGACTCGTCTTTTTCTCGAGATTAGATTATTTCCATAGAGGGAGGTACATTGTGTGCCCGGCAATTCACAAACAGCCATTGAACAAATGTGGTTTTTTGTTTTGTTTTGTTTTTTTGTTTTTTTATATGAGTTGCCTATATTTGCTATTCAAGATTTTGTAAATAATGCAAATCAGCTTTATAGGTTTATTACAAGTTTTTAAGGATTGTTTGGGGAATCATACTTTTGAAAATAATTAATGAATACATTTACAGTTAGAATTTATGGCAAGATACCATCCATAAATTCTCAAACGTTACCAAATCCATTTCTTTGGGGAGGGGATAATCATTCAAATGAAAGTAAAATGAAGATTTTACTCTCTGATTGAAATAAGATTATTTTAAATATGAAAGATTTTTTTTTATGTGAATTTAAACCGAACAGCTTAAAGATATAGTTACAAGACACAGAAGCTAAAGGTCTTACCATAAGTTAAACAGTATCTTTTTCAAGTGGGGAGGGACTGACATAATTGTCACACACAAGCTTCCGGTGCAGTTTTCTTAGACTGGAATGTTTGCTCATGCAGTACTGTTGGTTAAATGACAATTTATGTGGATTTTTGCATGTAATACCCAGCGAGACACAGTAATTTTACTGAAATTACGGTGCAGCGTAGTTAATCTGTTATTACTGACTCGGTGTCTGCCTTTAATATCAGTGATATGTTGAAAGCTTGCCAATATGCAATATCGATAGGAATGTGACATTGATGCTGTTAACCAAAGGGCAGAAATCATAAGCAAAATGCCAAAAGCGGTCTTAATGGAAAATTTAATTTTGTTTTTAAAATATTGTTTATCATTATTTATTTTGTGGTAATAATAGTAAGTTTTTTTAGAAAACAACTTTCATAACTTGATAAATTATAGTTTTGTTTGTTAGAAAAGTTGCTTCAACGTGTAAATAGGTGACGAACGGTGTAAATAGTTTTGTAAGAGGCTTCGAGATGTTTATACGTGGACACACCTACATCAAAAGCATAACTCCGGCTGCTCTTCTGCTTCTTTGTCCCTTATTTTTGTATTGTGGTAATTTCCTATGCAATATCGGAGCAAGCAGCTGTATAGTTGTAGAATTTTTTGAAAGAATGAGATGTTTATATATTAACGACAATTTTTTTTTGAAAATAAAAAAAGTGCCTAAAAGATTTATGTGGTGCCTTCCTTACCTTCCATAGCAGATGATGAGTACATTATAATCCTAAAACTAGTTTCCTACAGGGGTCAGATCAGGGCAGTTAAGGGGAGAGAACTGGATGTGTGGGGTACAGGCCACGTTTAAGGATGTTGTGATGAAATACTGTTTGAATCCTACCTTATTGAAGACTTAGAAGGGTTTATTTTAGAGATGAAATCAGGATTGAGTGCAGTTTATCAGAGTGGACAGCCTAGCTAGCGCGCACAAAGCTTGGGTTCTGTTTGCAGCCCTGCAAAAACCAGGCAATGGAGGTAAGAAGGCGAAGTTCAGAGTTACCCTCTGCCCCCAGAGTTCAAGCCTGTCCTGGGCTATATGAGATCCAGTACAAAGGGAAGAATAATTCACAACTTCAAGTTACATTTGTGACCACCTCATTCACACCGGACCCTTCCACGCCTTGTCAGTTGGAGGTACTGTTGGTTTGGGAGATTGTATGTCAGAGGCAAACAGGAATTAGAACTTTATTTATATTTTTATGTAGCCCTGGCTGTGCTGGAGCTTGCCGAGTAGACCAGGCTGCCTTGAACTCACAGAGATCTGCCAGCCTCTGCCTCCTGGGTGCAGGGATTAATAGCCAGGAATGGGATTTCTTTTTTTTTTTTTTTTTTTTTTTTGGTATTTTCAAGTGCTGGGGCTCAAATCCACAGGACTGTGCATCTCTGCATGTGCCCACAGCTGGGCAACACTGTCAGACTCTTCTCCAACAAGTAGCACCTGAATCTTAATGCCTAGTGTTCATCTATGTGAGCTCTCGGGACTTAGCGAAATGAATTCTAGGCCTGGCATGGGAAATAGCTGGATCTGTAGCATCTTAAGAGTTTCAAAAAGCAAGGTATCAGTGAAAGAAAAGTCTTCAGTAGGGGCTGTGTCAGAGTAGCAAAAGACCTGCTCATAACCGCAAGATGAAGACCTCCCTTGTAGGCCTCGTAGAGGAAACAGGAGGCCATGCAGAATAGTTAACTATAGTCATTCCATCTTTAAGAAGGGAATCCAGTGTTCTCAAGTGTGATCCCAAGACTGACTTCCTCCTGTAAAGAAAGGAGGGCAAGGGGTGACTACCTTAGAGAAATCTGCCCTGGCCAGCTGACCAAGGTCCACACCAACAAGGATAAGTCATGCTGACGCTGCGTCCCCTTCACGTGACCTGATGAAAATAAAACTTGGCTCTGTGGTCTTAGAACACATACATCCTGTGTCATGAAAGGCAGCAGACAGCACCTGGGCATCCTATAAAATTTTACCAAGGCCAGGTCACAAAGTATGTAATCAGTGTACCAATGTTAGTTTATCCATTGTGATAATTGTATCGCAATGTACACATTTTATTATTAATATATATATATATTACAATTTTTGTTTGGTTGGTTTTTTTGAGACAGGTTTTCTCTGTGTAGTCTTGGCTGTCCTGGACTGCCTTTGTAGACCAGGCTAGCCTTGAACTCACAGAGATCCACCTGCCCTTGCTTTCCAAGTACTGGGATAAAAGGCATGCGCCTCTACACCTGGCTTGTTATAATCCTTTCTGGAGAGGGAAATGGCTAGAGGGCTTCACTGTGTAGCCCACGTTGGCTTGGAACCTGCTATGAATTCCACGCTGGCCTCATGGGAAAGATTCCATCATCTTTCTACCATGCCTGGCTAAAGAAAAAGATATAAAATAAAAACGTCATTTTTTAAAAAGTGAAGACAGATCACTCTGTTTCGTAAGTCAGCATAAATGGTGGTGGCAGTACCCCTGGTGTCCTCAGATTTTGAAGTGGAATTGCAGTTCTGATCTTTTTTTTTTTTTTTTAATTCCTCTCTGCTCTTTCCAGACCTCCAACTAGCATGTAACTCAGTAACAGTTCCCTATTGGTTTCTCATTCTCCCATGGGGGTAAATAATTTCCAGTCTTAAATAATTTACTTCTAGAGTTTAAAATGAGAAAATGACGCTAGAGCCTTCTCTTTTTCTTTCTTTCTTTTTCTCTTTCTTTCTTTCTTTCTTTCTTTCTTTCTTTCTTTTTTTTTTTTCTAACATGATCTCCAGCCCAGGTTTCCCTTGAACTCGGCATGCAGCAAAAGATGTTCTTGAACTCCATCAGGCTGCCTCCAGCTCCTGACTGAGAACTATAATACAGGCACATACCACTGTGCTTATTGTGTAAGGTGCTGGACCAAGCCCAGGCCTCGAGCATTCTAGGAAAACAACAGACAGGATAGAATTGTGTGAGTTAGCCACCTCCTTGCAGCTGTGAACTTTCCCTTTTGATTTGGTCCCCAGACATCACTGGCATTGAAGTTCCTGACACTTAAACAACACTTTACTCTGGGTGACGGAAAGAGCCGTTTCTACTTCTTCCTGTCACTTAACTGTTCCTTTCTTTGTAGGCTGTTCTCGAGCAGATCCTGATTCCTCTGCCTCCCCCTCCTCTGTGTAGAAATGTCATGTGTTGCCTCCACATGACATTCTCTTTTGCTAGCTACCTGTTTGAATTCTTGTCTGTCCTTTGGCTACAAGTCCTGTGTGTTTTAGAGACACATGGCACTTTAGCATTTCGATACTTATTCTACTTTTGACTTGTAGTCTTTCTTGTATGCTTTTCTTCTTCGGATTGTCAATTCCTTGGCAAGGGACCATTTCCACCTTATTGGAAGAATTTATCCATTCTTCTATTACTGCTATTATTGGTTAATAATAATAATTGGTTAACATTTTAAAGCATAACTACATTTCTGCTGCCGTGTGAATTGGCCTAAGCCACTGCCACAATTGAATAAATCTACTGCTGGCCAATTTTCTTCTTTGTGTGTGTTGCTGATACAGCCTTTGGTGTTGGAGTTTTGATAAGGTAGACGAATATGAGACTAGGATTATAATGCAAGCAAACAAGTAATGGCCTGTGGATTTTTTTAAACATTATTAGTGTTCAAGGGACATACTATTTGCAAAAGACAACTTGCTTGATGTATTTTCAAAGCTGCAAGGAATTTAATTGCTGGGTACTGTTGGGTCCACTCAGTGATTATCCAGACTCCGACATATCCCCAGTGTTTCTTTATAAACAAAGCACGGCAGTTTGACACGACTGGAACAGCACATCAGGTTCCAGTTGGCCAGCATGCTGCTATGTGGCTTGATTTCAGATCCATCAGCCCCTGAGTTTTAACTGTCTGCGGCTCTTTTTCCATTCCCTCCATGCAGAGTTGGGTTCTGTTATCTCCACTGGCCGTTACATTCTTCCCTCACAGCTTGTAAGAATGCCACCACTTCGTGGGCTCCATGAGAATCCCCTCAGATAAGCAGGCCCTGCCCGCCTGCTCAGAAATGATTCACTCCTGGCTAGGCCTGCTTCCTGTCTCTAGCTAAGCCCCATGGAGCTTTGTGGATCACTTCAAGAGCTCTCCCTCAATGAGGGGTTTTCTTTAGCATTACTTAGTCTGTTCTCTACTTTGAAGCTAACTGGACCCCATCTTCGGTGAGATTCAGTGCTCCAGTCTGAAGCCAATCAGTGGAAGACATGCATCCCCCTTTCAGTTACTCAGGACAATAAGTGACAAAATACGGAAATTGACTTAGTAAGGGTTTTAATGGTGAGTTGTTTGGTTTTTTTTTTTTTTTTTTTTTTTTTAAAGTCTACATGTTGGTGTGTACCTGTGATGCCAGCACATAGGAAGCAGAGGCGGGAAGGTGATAACATTTTAAAATTTTATTTACTTACTTATGGGTATGGATTGGGAAGCTATGTGTCATGAAAGGTCAGAGAAGACTTGCTCGAGTCAGTTTTCTCCTTTTGCAGCAGAGTCCACGCATCCAAGTCCATTCTCTTTCTCCACCATGAGCTATGGAGATTGAACTCAGGTCACCAGGCTTGGCGCTTTTACTCTCTTACCCTTTTTACTGGTGCCAGTTCCTGCATATTTGAGGCCAACCCACTCTACGGAGTGAGTTTTGTGTCAGTTGGGCATGGTAAAATTCTGTTTCAAAAAAAGAGTGGGAGGGGTTGTGAAAAAAAAAAAAAAAAAAAGAGGACCAGGTAGGAGGCTCTGCAGGTAAAAATCACTTGCTCCATGAATCTGACCACATGAGGTTGATCCCAAGAACCCAAAGGAGAAGGAAAGAAATGACCCCAAAAGCTCTCTTCTGACCTCCAAACACATTCTGTAACGTGTGAAGAATTTTTTAAAAGCTATTGATGGCTTCAGGTACGAGAAAGCTATAACTATGAAGCAAGCAGAATATACAAAAGTCAAAAAACATGTGGAAAACATATGGCTGAAGTAACAGAATGTACAGTTACAAATTTCAGCAGGCTCTGTACAGGATGGAAAGTCTAAGACGGAGAGCCTTTCTGGAAGGTCTTCACAAAGCCGTGTAAAATGGATGTGCATCACTGTAGGATTGTCAAGTTCTGAGACCAAGAAGCATCCTAGAAAGTAAGGACCAGTTCCCTGTAAAAACGAGTTTTGAATTGCTTCAGACTTTCCATCTGGGACACTAGGATTAAGAGGACTAAGGAAATACCATTATTATTCTGAAGAAAAATAGTTAAAACTGACTGAGTCAAATACGCAGCCTCATATACAGATCTTTAATTAAATCTCCGATTCTCAACCTATTGTCAAAAGGTCACTCTGATATATAAGAGATATGTATGTGTGTGTGTGCGTGCATGTGTATGATATATATATCAGAAGCCAGCAAACTTTTTCTGTAAAAGAGACAATTTGTAAATATATTGTACTTTGTGGACAACATAGAGTTTCTGTCAAGTATGTTTGTTTCCAACACACAAATAAATCAATGTAACGTTTTTAAAAAGGCAGATGCCATCTGAGGGATACCACCCAAGGCTGACATCCATTCTCTGCACATCTATAACCACACTTGTATGCGCACCTTTATGCACCATACACACACATATGTGCACAAATTTGTGAATAGAAAACCAAAAGCTGAGTGGCACATACC